AGGGAAGACTCGAATGGCCCTCAGCACCCATTTCCTCCACTATTTCATGGGATCAGACAACAAAAGCAGAGCCAAACAAATTTGTAACCACCCAGAGGTTACAGCTACCTGTCCCTGAAGAAAATGAAGGCCATTCAAACACTGTTAGCCCCCGAGCTCTTCATGAGGGTATGCGGAAAGGCTACCAGGGATGTAACAAGTTTCAAAACAAAGAAAAGGTACCTACCGAAGGCAGAAGGAAAAGCAGTCAAAACAGAACCGAGATGCGTGGCTTTTTACATTTTGTTCCAATACATGCTAAGAGCAAACAAAGCATTTTCTTTCTATGTTCAAAGCATATTGTAGTGATAAAGGACTTATTATTCTTAGATGAAAGAATTATTTAGACTGGATGACGGACGATAAAACTCAGCTGCCGTACCACCAGCTACTCCTCCGAGCCCCTGCTGCCTGAGCCTTACTCCAGGATGCCACCGTTGCCCTACTGCTTGTAGGATCAGCTAGAAGTCCATCCCTTTCCTCTGTTAGCCTCCTCCAAAATGGATTTTGTTGTATAAATGACACATAAATGTGACAAGTTACGCCGTTCATCGCCATTCTGCACTAAACTTCCTAAAAGGACACGTGTACACACATTGTCACTAAAGATGGTGACACTAACAAGACAAACTGAGCAGTTTGTTGGTCTTCCTCCACCTATTGCCCTTGTCTAATATTGTTCATGTACCTCAGGATTTTAGGCTGTGAACCCCATGGTCTTGCATGTCTGCAACTGTCTATCACCAAACAGTCAGTTTTATTAAAAAGATCTCTGACATAAAACCTACATCTCTTAAATTCAGCATACGGATTCAACAGCTGTACATAAGAGAAGTGAAAACCTTCAACTGTTGGATAGAATTGAGCACTCAATGCCACCCAAAAAAAAAAAAAGAAAAGAAAACACCACAGGCCAAATACATTACACTTGATTACTACTCGACACAAAAAGAATTTGAAATTCGATATCCTAGAGGGCACGCAAAGAACTGCACAGGAAGGAAGTGCTGGCAGAGCCTTCCTGTACCTAAATAAAATGCACCAATACAGGAAACGGCAGGCAGCATAATAGTCTTTAGTCACACAGGCCCCGTACTGTGAACTTCCAAGACCCCCGAAGAATTATATGTGTAGGGGGAGGCATGGTAGGGCCACACAATGGAGAGATTCAGCTTCCCAGATTGTACTGATAACTCCACCGAGATAAAGGGGATTGTTCAACTGAGCAGTAACTGCTGGGCTGGGCCTAGTGGTGGTGGTGGGTTTTGGTGTGTTTTTTTATTTTTTTAATAAATCGCTTTCTTTGATATAGTCAGCTACAGTTTTTAAACAAGTAGCAAACCATTTTCATTTGATTAACTTAAAAAAACACAGCATCGTTGACTGCAAGTCCATAAAGCACCTCACGTCTCCTCGTTGTTGGAAAAGAAAACTTGCCAACAGCTCCGCTGTCATTCACTCCAACCGGAGCTGCTACCAGATGGCAAAACCAACAAGTTATCTGATGAAATCATTCAACGTATTCAAATACCCTGGCCGCCACAAGTGCCAGTAATTATCAAGGAAATAAACAAAATTAAGCTGTAGAAATGCAGAATGGCCTAATCCTCAATAAGTAAAGAACCTACACGAGTACGGAGGTCAATATTGGCAGGTTTCATTCCAGGAGGGGAGGACAGCCTGTAAGCAGCACGGATTGCTAAGGAATAATGCAACACAAACTGACAATGCCCGGAATGTGGTGTGTCACCATCCAGTTTATTAGTGGAATGCAAATGATAAAGTACTTATGGTAATTACTTCAGAAGTGATGTTGAAAGGGTTAGCAGGTAAAATCTGCTGGAGCTTTGGGAAGAAGTCAACCAAGCATCAGAGGAAAGAAGGCCGGATCAAGTTGTGTCTACCCAGCAGCACAAAGCTTGCTGAAGATTTGATAATTCGCTAGGAAATTATCTATAGCAGGTCCTTGATGTTTCCAAGGCAGGACAGGAAGGCTGCGTTTTAAGAAGCATCAATTATAATAGTTTTACTGTTATTATGAGAGGGTTAGTTCATGAATCTGACAAACACTTTGAAACGCAATTATTATACTACTTAAGCAATTCAGAGCAGATTTAGGAAACGTGATGGAGCCTTCGTAACGTGACACCCCACCACAGCAATGCCAGCTCGTACAGAAATGGGGAATATTTTTTTTTGTAGATGCAAATTACAGAGTGGGTGGATAAGAGAAATGCAAACTGCAAAATCATACAGTAAATAAAAACATATATAAACAAGGTGACAGCCTGGTAAGTGCTTCTCTTTAAAGAGCAATCAAATAACAATCCCATTTTCCTTCCTGGACAAGCTCCTTTGAAATAAGGAGGACAGTGATAAAAAGAGACCCAAAATGAGTTTCCAAGTGCTCTTTCTACAAATTAAATTATTGATTGTATTTAGCGATTTGAATTTCTACAACACACTTCAGACCTGAAGAAACTGCTGCTAATAACGCCGTAACTCAGCAAAATGATCCCGAGACAGAGCCGAACACATCCGTCCCTCCAGTTAGATGGTACTGGCATCGGTAACATCTTCATCCAAATGTCTTTGTAATGACTCAATATTTAAACATCGCTCTGCCTAACAAGCTTCTTCCTGACTTGGGGAAGCAGAGCATCTCCAGGCCTCGGTATCCCTGCCGGCAGCATCCTCATTACATCACAACTACGGGAAGAAAGAGTTGCAAGAGGAACGAGCTGCGAGTTCACCTCTGGAGATCTGTGTATTGTTATAAAATGGAGTCCTCCAACACGACGAGCGTAGTGGCAGCACCACGACTGCCCGGCACGGAGGAGAGCCGTGGAGGTGGCACCGCGCTCAGCCCAGGGTAAGAGGAAAGAAGAGCTTCGTGTCACAGCCACGGGGCTCCTCCAGGCAGCTCTGGGAGATGTGCTTCCAGCTCTCCGCAGCTGAGGAGGGGACTTCTGCCATGCAGAGGCAGACAAGTGCAAAAAAGAAGGGGCTTCAGAGTGTTCTCATGGTCGGAGACCCCAAAAAGACACCTATGGAACTAAACAACTGAAAGGGTTTAAACACGGGGGCAGCAGCCTTGTCACCACCTTTTCTCCCATAAAGACAAAATATATTTTTAGTATTTAGGGAGGGGGGTGGGGAATCCTAAAGCTGTGCTTGACCACCCTCTGTATCTCACTGGTTCTGCTCTTTTGGCAAAACCCGCTCATCTTCCCTGCAGTAGAAAAGCTGTGAATTAAACAATGAAATTAAGCAACTAGCACGATTTCAATAGCCTGTTTGTCCTACATATGCACCACTAATTGTGTATCGATGGCTGAAACGCGGCTCAGTTTTTCTATCACCACCGCCACGGCAGCTCACACTCACAAAACAGAATTTCATCCCGAAAATGAAACGCACAGCCCCGTCTGCTGCTGTCAAAGTGCCTTTAAACGCGAACAATCACGGGGGGGGAGGGAAGTGAAAATGTTTTGCCGTAAGAATAAAGAGCCAGCATATCAAACCACTGCCACAACTTTTTTTTTTTTCCGCTCAGCTAAGTGATTTATGGAAATACAGGCAAATCGGTGCAGCCCTGCTGAGCAGAAAGGTTACCTAACAGACCCGATCGCCCTCCCTTCACGCCTAGCTGTGCCTTCCTATTTTAAATGTACCCACACGGGCTGAAGTACAGTCCGCCATAAGAAGTGCAAGGAGTGCCCTTGAAAAACGTCCAGATTGCAGCTAGTGCACAAAGGCTCTCCCTGTGCAAACAGGGCACGAGAATTCCTTTCTCGCTCTTGACCCGGCATCAGGTGAGGGGATTAACTTCCCAGCAGCATCAGAAGGCACGGCGTCGGTAAGAAACGAGCAAAGTTTGGGAGCCGAAAAAGAAGGCTGAGAATCAATTCCACAGCTGGTTTAGGGGAGGGGGAAAAAAGAAATGGCTTGGGTAAATCAGGCTGGATGCTCTGCTTTGAATTTCTCTTCCCCAAAAGAGTGGTGGGCAAGGCTGAAGAGCTCTGCTGGAGCAGGCAGGCAGGAGCAGCCGGAGATGAACTGCCAGCGCCAGGAGACCGGGCGGCATCCACACTTGCCTGGCCACACGGCAGACGACACTGCAGATTTCCCCTTTTTTTTTCCCAAAATCAAAGCCGAACCAGCATCGGGGAGGGGGAGTAGGAATTATTAACCGGGAACTTTTTGTTCCTTAAATACGCCACCGAGATTTTTCACACACCCCCCCTCCCCTTCCCACACCCCTCTCCTTTCCATCCCCTTCTGCCAAAAGAGGCCTTGGGGGACGCCAGGACTCACCATATCAGCCGGGACGCCGCTGGACATCTTGAGCTCCCTCCGAAAAACCGATTTTAAATTAAAAAAATAAAAATAAAAAAATAGACGTAAAGGCAGCAAAGGTCCTCGTCACCACCGGCGGTGCCAGGTAGGGCCGGCAGGACCGCAGGGCGACATGGGCTGCGTGCGGGGCTCCTTCTGCCCGCACACCCCCTTTTTCTTGCCTTCCTTCCCTCCCTCCCTCCCCCCCCACGCCTTCCTCGCTCTCCCTGCTCTTCTTCCTTCTCCCCCGCCGGATAACGAGGGGGTGATTCACGGCCAGGGCTGCCGCGGCCCGGCCGCCTCCTTCATTAGCGCCGCGGACACCCGGCGGGGCGGGCAGCTCCTGCGGGGGGGAGAGTCCAGCTGGGTCCTGAGGGGATAAAGCCGGATCCCGGGGGCTTAAATCGAGCTGGATCCGCGGGGCCGAGCTGGATCCCGGGGGGTCACCGCCAGCCGGATCCCCTCAGCGCTCCGCGGGGACCCTGAGGGGCGTCCAACGGCCGCCGCCTCGCCTCAGCTCAGCGCTGCGCTCGCATCGCCTCCTCCTCTTCCTCCTCCTCCTCCTCCTCCTCCTCAGCCCTCCCTCTCTCCCCCGCCTCTCCCCCCTTCCTCCTTTCCCTCCTCCCTCCCTCCCTCCCTCCCTCTCAGCAGCCGGGGGTGCCGCTCCCTCAGCGCGCTGCCCGCCCGCGGCCGCCCCCCGCCATCTTCGCCTCACGGCGCCAACATGGCGGCGGCGGCCGGGCCCGGACAGGGGGCGCGGCGGGAGGGGGGGGTGGAGGGGGGTCGGTGCCCCCCCCCTCTCCTTCTTCACCCCCCCCCCCAATCAGGCGCCGCGGCGCCGCGCGGCATCATGGGACTTGTAGGCGGGCGGGCGGGGCCTCCGCCTCATGGCCCCGCCCCTCTCCTTAGCAACCGTTGCTAGGGCGGGAGATTGTAATTAATCATAATCACTATTTCATATACATACAAATAAATTGTTCGATTTTCCATCCCATATTAACAAATCGAAGCCTGCACGGCATTCCTTGGTAAAAACTCCCCATCACGGCCAGTGGTTTATTCCTCATCCCAGCCCCTCAGCGTGCCATAAAGGCCGTGCCCCGTGAAAAATGCTTCCCACACGGACAAAAAAAAATACAAAATAAAATCGCGCTCAATGTGCACATCTACCCAAGGAATGAGTGGGCCTCTTGAGAGGGATATGTGGAGATGTGTTCGTTTTCCAGCACTGTAAAATTGTCCAAGAAAAAAAAAATCACAAAAATCAAGTAGACAGAGCTTGTGGCAGATGCTGTCTGGTTCCTTCAGGGACAGTTCTCATGTAAAACCACAGGAAATTAAGACAGAGTTGTTCCCTTTAATACTAAAAGTTGGAAGCTGTCTTTCCTCTTTATGACTTCCTACTGAAAGCAACAACGGCAACCCCACTGTCCCCTCCATCAAATTTATCATTCTTTTCTTCAGGAACAGCTACAGAATAGCATGAGGCCGTTGACTGTAAAAGGCAGATTTGACAGCAAACATCCCAGCTGAATGCCCAGGAAAAGAGTTTGGGGGTCAATAAAAGAGACCTGTGCTATCACGCTGCATGACTTTGGGCACGTCATTCCCCAGGACCTCTGCTTAGAGAAGTTGTTGAGTTGCTGTCTGTGGAGACAGTCCAAACCCAACTGGACGTGGCTGTGGACAACCTGCTGTGGCTGACCCTGTCTGATGCACCTTCCAAACTCATCCCTTCTGTCACAGTGTCTTGGTGACTGTCCCCTGACAAATGTTTTTGTGGTACCATCCATAGTCGTCCCCAACTTCAGTCAGTTCTTCAAGCCACCAATAAGTCTTGTGTTTGTGGCAATAATAGCATATTGTTGAAACATTATTTACATTTTTCTCCAATCAGATATCCTTGAGGGACAGAGAAAGTGTAAGGGTTCCTCATTTTTTTCATATCTTTTCATAAGGCGTCGAAATAATAATACTCACAGATGAGGGTCAAAGGGGTGAGCTCTGGAGGATGTCTCCCATCTGACATAATATGCCTCCCTGGGCACATACGTCTGCCTGGTTATGGCAGTGACAGATTGAAGAATTATAAATAGGTCTCGCTGAACAGAGTTTATACTTAGAACATTATCAATAAAAATTCCTTATGGAGTTTTAACTGTGTGCCCAACAGCTTAAGTTTAGGTGGACACCCGAGCTCTGCTGTGAGGCAATCCTGCAGACCTAGCAGTTGCTCCAAGCAGACCACAGCCCCGTACAGGTGCCTTGAGATGATCCCAGGGTGATTTAGGAGCTGCCCTGCCCATGCCCACTGATAGCAGGGGCAAGAGGATAGGCACAGTGTCTGCTTCTCAGGCAGTACAGCTCCCAGCTGTCTGCTCCTGTAAGCTGAAATTGGTGGCAACCCAGAGTGATGTCCTTGTCCCTGCCGTGACAGCTGAGGAGAAGGCAGGGCAGACAGCAGGGGTGAGTAATCTTGCACAGCTCACAGCTTGAGCTGCCAAAGGTTATATGGAAATACCCTTCGATCGAGCAGGGAGAGTTAGGGCACCAACAAGCACCGGCAGACTGGATGAGGGGTCGGCCAGGCAAGGAGGCAGCAGCAGGACACATCCACTCCATGGGAGATGGCTTTTTTGAATTATTTAGCCGGATGAGCTCATCTGTGGTCCATAAAGATAGGCACATCCATAGGGCAGAGCCATAGGACAGAACGCAGAAGACACAGAGCCTAAATCAGCGTGATTTCGTGCTTTCTGTTTTCCTACCCCTGGCTTAGCAATCTGCTAAAAGGAGGATCAGGACTTCAGACAAATTTGAATCCACAATTATAAGTGCAGGCCAGAATGCCTCTACATTAGGCTCCACACAGTACAAACACATAACAAAGACAGAGTTTCTGTCCTGAAAGGTTCACAGTACTGTGTTTACTCTACAGTTGACATTTGTATCACATTTGTGTGATTTTTTTTTTTTTCTCCCAGCTCTCAGCTCTGATGACACAACACAAACGAACGGAGGACCCAGCACAGCTGGTACGCACTGGAGATCGTTTAAGGATGATTGTGTGTTGGGCAAATGAATAAAAAGAAAAGCTGTACAATGATCCTCGTAGGAGTAGTGCGGGTCCGTGTACTGCACGTGACAAAAGGGATGAATTCCCACCAGACTTGTGGAGGTGAGGTAATGGATTTGAAATACAGTGTGGTTGAGTATAAACCAGAAAAATATCTTTTTCTCTTTGGCTTGCATTAAGAAAGGCTGTTCTGATAGCATTCATTTCACGTTCACATGGAGAGGAAATGAGAGTTGTGGTCAGCAGCAGTCGGCTGCAACAAGGGACCCTGCAAAAGCGCAGCTATAGCCTGCATATGGGACCAGCTTGCAGCTCAGCACTGAGCAAGCGCTGCAGGCACACAGAGCTGAAAACAAACCTTTCCCACATCCAAGGATTGAGCAAAAGGGGAAGTGCTGTTTGAGAGAAGTGCTAACAACATGGAGAGCTGAAAAGGCTATTCTGTTTTGGGGACCTAGCCCTGTACTCAAACACACAAATCTTTCCGCTAACTCTCCCTAGCAGAACTGGCATGTGAATTTAGCCAGCCAGGCACAAAATCTTTTATTGGCATTGCTTTGGCAATTTGCAGAGGAAAACGATGGAATATACTGCTGATATTTTGCTCCTCATTTGGAAAGCATGGCATGGCATGACTGGATGAGTCAAATTTTGCAATGCCGTATTTGCATTGATAAAATTTGTACCTGGTCTCTGCGGGTGGGTTGAGGCTCGATTTTAGTGTTTCATGACCATCAGTACTAGTTGAAACCTGACTCTGCACTGAGACATGCTTAATAGGAATAAAAGGCCTGTTATTCTAAATCAGATTAGTAGTCCAGCCAATGTGATATCCTGTCTCCAGCAGTGGCCAGCATCAAATACTTCAGAGACACACACAAAACCCCGCAATGGACAATCACGTTATAATCTGCTTATTTGGTTAAGTTTCCACTGCTGCCAAGGATGTAGGAGAGACTGGTTTATGCCCCGAAGCACAAAACTTCATGTCCTTTATGGCCTTAATAGCAGAATAACCCATCAATAGCATGTAAAAATGATTGCCATTTTTCGAAAGAGCGGTGCTATCTCCCGTCAGTTGTTACTGCCCGGGCTTGAGAACATGTCGAGCCTACACTCCAAGACTGACATTAAAAGCTTTCAGCCCCATAATGTACTCCAGTGTTTTTCATTTGATGCAGGCTGCGAACAGGAGCATCTTCAGGAGAAGGAGCACGCAGCGATGACAGAAATGAAATTTCTCCCAAGGCAAGAATATCCATGGCTTCTCGTTTCCCTGCAGGTTTTTCAAGCAGCCTGAGAAGGTGAAAGGCTCCCGAGACAAAGGGTTTAATTCTCCGCAGTTTGGCCATGGGACAGATCAGGATTCCTTCCCTCTCTGGCAGCCACAGAAGCAAGATACCCAGGGCAGCAAGGAGCACACAGGGCTACTCAGCAGGATATTTTTAATACCTTTGTATAAACATGTGGACTTTTTTTTAACTCTTGCCAAGCAAAATTCACATTTAACTCGGTGCCTCTGTAAAAAACTCAGATTTTGTGTTTGCAAATATATTTTTTTTCCTTGCTAAATTGATTCTTTTCCATTGATTTTTGCCTCTTTGGTTCTTCTGAGTCAAGCCAAAACAGCAGTGGGTGTCCTACCAGCCCCTCACCTGATGTCAGCAGACTCCTGGGAATAGCATTTAGTGGTTCTCACCTGCCCCAGAGCCAGTAGGGATAGCAAAAGGACCTTTGAGGTTTTGTAGAGTTTATAATACTGCTGGCTATAATTGTGGTTTATTTATTTACTTTTTAAGTTACTTGTCATGCTGATCTTGCTGGAAAATGAAAACACACAGCTATTTTAACTCACACTGTACCCCTGAATGCCGCAATATGCTTTAATGATTTATTCCCCCACTTCTTGATGTAGTGTCCACACACAGTTCAAGATGATTGGCAACAAGCAAGCAATACCAGAGGTTATTCTTGGCTTGGCCCATGCAGTGAGAGCTGGTAGGAACAGTGCTCTGCCCGTGTAATGGGTGTAGCAGTAGAAAAGGAGATATGACGTATCAGTGTTCCAGGTACTGGTGCCATAAATAGCACTGGGGAAATCCTAAGAAGGGGTGAGGATTGACAGGGGAAGGTACAAAGGTGGAATGAGGAGGAAGGAAGAAGAACATGAATGAGAAGTTCCCACGTGTATATTAGAAAGTGCTCAAGTCACCAGCGTTCGTCAACTACCCATAAATCTATGAACTAACAGATACATCATCTAGTCCATATAGAAAAATAACCCTGAAGACGATTGGAAGTTCCTTTTTTTGTGTCATAAATAAAAACACAGGAAGGAGAAATTGTAGCAGAGAAGCATCCATTCCATCCATCCTGGATCCACTTCCTGATGACAGGGGAAAGCTAAGGAAATATTGAAATAACACTCAACTTCTGAACTAGAAACTTGAATTTAGCAAAGGATTTACAAAACATAGCAATAAAATTGTATTTCGTATCTGGAAATCAAATGTGTGGGAATTAAAGATTTCTATACAAATAATCAGAAGAGTGGTGGCAGCAAATGTTATTAAAAGCTGCTGGACAAGAAGGATAAGATGAAGAAACTCCAAGTGTGCAATGCGAAAGTAAATGAAAGTTCTTCAGAAAAAGGAACGAGAATCTGTGACCTTGGGGAATGGCTGTTGCAAAAAAATGAACTTTGTGTTAAAAATTGTCCAGAATATAATTAAAGAAAAATACACAGAGTACATACAAATATGGAGAAACATTGGAAAGAGGGTAGTAAAAGACCACCAGAGATCACACTCGGTCCAACCAAGGATGAAAAAGGAAAATAGCATTGTAAAAATGGTAGAGAAGGCACCTGAAGCTCGTGCTGCCTGCCGGCCCCCAGCTTTCCCCTCACTCTTGCAGGAGCCACCGAGCCTGCGGCGGAGCACAGCCCATTAGCCGAGACCTGGAGCACCTCCGCCTTTTATCGTCCCTGCTTCCTGCTGACTCCAGCAGGTTATTTTTTACATTAGCACATGCAGAAGGTTACGTTCATTTATATATTATTTTTTTTTTCCGTAAGGGTCTCCAGTGGGAAGCTAACCATTAGCGAGCTCCTGTTATAGCTCATATTTACTATTTATAAAATTAGTACCAAAAATACTAAATCGAAGCACAAAAGTCTTCTTGCTCATGTGATTTCCGAGCCTGTTGTCAACACTGCTTTAGAATTCTTCGTTTTTTTTTAATTTAAGGATCTTCATATGTCCCTAATTTAAGGCTGTTATTTATATGTGTGTGTGTGTGTGTGTGTATATACAAGCATATGTTTATATAGACTCTATATGTGCCCATGCGTATTAAACCTCTGAACATTTTTCAAGCTAACTGTAGCACTCAAATAAATTGCACTCAAATCTGATTGTCCGCTACTTTAACTGAAACAAAACCCGTCTCGGCATTTGTGCTGAGGACATAATTGTTTTTTACATACATTACGCCATTGTAATAGAACATTTAATCTGACTTCTTTTCTATCGCTCGCTGGTCTCCAAACCAGAATCAATATCTGAATGAACCACTGTCTAGGAGCACTATTTTTAATTGGCTAAAGAGATTGCCTGACCTTTGGTAACTGGTTACTGCTGTTGGGGAGGCTCTCCACGAGCAGCAGGGCATCGTCTAAATATAACGGGACAATGGCCTCATGTCATCTATAGGATATGGAGACACCACCGTTTTGTGTTGCTTTTACTTTATTACTATACATGCTAGGCACAATCAACAAAGACTTCCTGAGGATGAATGTTGTCAGTATATGAAACACTGAATAACTGCTTTTTGTTTCACTGAATGGTCCCCTTTCTTTCGGATTTAAAGGGGAAAATACAGGAAAAACAACTCTGGGGAATGGAGTCTCGCATATAGGAGATTTTGTTTTCCAGTGGAGAGACTTTTGGCTGCACTGGGATCTTACATTAATTTTATAGGAGTTTAACTCCGTTGACGTAATCTGAATTATTCCTCTTTTACAATAAGGTGAGAGAGGCACTGGGCAAATTAATAGGAGCATGAATTCCACATTAATTTACAAGGTCACAGTCATCTGGGTCCTGAATGCTGCCAGTGTTGGGATTGATTTTTTTCTCTATTTTCACTTTCTCTCATCATGACCATAAAACCCAAGAGGGCCTGATTTAATTCCAGCCTCCCTTTCTCTTTCCAGTCCCCAGGCCAACATGTACTGTAATAGGTGTTTGTGTAGTATAGCCGAATACTCCCAAAATAGCCAGCACTAAAAGTCGTCTAATTGGTTTACTGTCAGCAAGAGACTTGCTAGAGACAGCAAGAGAGCAGCAGAATCCGAAAGACTGAGCAGAAAAGTTTCGCCACGTTTGAGTTGGTAATACAGGGTCTGTAGTCACCTGCGTCTGGTAAAGGGCTTCCTTATTTTTTTATTAATTTTAGTTTTATTGATTTATTTAAATGACTCTAGCTAGAAGTTAAAGGAAAGGAGAATTCATCAGACCTCAGCTGTGGGTGCAAGCTGTGGGCACAGCAAGTTCATGAGAGGCAACAGTGGAAAAGTTTGTCCAAGTGACACCACATTTTCCGATTTCCTTTACCAGCCACTAAGAGCGGGATTCCACTCACCTGAATAAAGTCTTCTAGAAATGTTGAATATTTACCCTAGGCTACTTGTCTGGCTTCCTTCTGTCATTGGTGGAGCAAGGTGCATCCATCACTTTGGCATCTTAGGTGACACTCTTAAACTTTCTTTGCTTACTGTTGGACAAGCCAGAACAATTCTAGATTGTTCAATTTTTAGCCAGATGAAGTTAACCAAGGTGAATCTCTCTCCAGTCTCTCCCACTTCTCCCCAGCAACATGTAGTTTTCGGCTCCACGTGCCATTTGCCTGGAAAATGAACTATGATTTTGTGCTGTGCTGCACCAACCCACCAAACCTTGGCATAACTCATGCTCCAAAGCCAGGGATGACTTGGTCATGCAGGACCTTCAATGTGAAAGTAAGGCTGGAGTCAGTGGGTACAGGATGAGTGAATTTCCTAGCAGTAAGCATGTGCAAGCACACTGGTTACGTACTTAAGCAGGTGCAAAACTTTGGCAGGATCCAGGCTTAAATATGAGCACCTCGAGGCAAGAAAATGTTCTTCTTTTGTTTCCTTTGCAGAGCAAAACTTGCTATTGTCACTTAATTAACTCGCTTTTCAAACTGATGAATGGTGAAGTAACGTTGGAAAGGTTACAACCATGGCATCACTTAAAACACTTTAATGCAACGCTGGGAGAAGCCAGAAAGTGATAGACTGGCTGCCCTGCTGTGTCAGGCTTCTCAGTGCTCACGGGGATTCCTTTGGGGTCTGTGGCACTGGATTCTCGTGGCTGCTCTGAAACTACATGGGCAGAGTCCACTGCATCCTCTTCCCAAAGGATCCTTATCTACAAGCGCTGAGGACACGGTGCAGTAGTTGATCATTAAAGGCTTGGTCAAGGAGAACAAGAACAGAAAGGGAAAGCTTGGGCAGAGCACGTAGAGATCTCTTCTTCCTAGCTTTAATAGGGCATTTAACACGAGTACATTTTCTAGCTCACTGTTGCAAATTCCTTTGTAGACGCAGCAAAAGGCAGGTCTTAAACAGAGACTGGTTGCACAGAATATTACAGAGTATTTTCAAGAGCATTAAGTGCGCCACCAAAGAGAGATCTTGTTCACTTCTCCTGCCCTTTCAGTGACAAATGACTGCAGTAAAATTGAACTCCTGCTTTTCCTTATTTATGAAACACCTCTTCCCTTTTGTATGAAAAACTAATTTTCCTGCGCTTTAAAAAGTGTCTAAGTGGCAGCTGAGAAAGCATGAGAAAGGTTTGCATTAGAGTGGAGGAACAATCCAAGCACTGTAAAACAAAAAGCTATTCAGTGGTGGTGTTTTTTTTTTCCCTAAAAGAAATGGAATGAAAACTGTCATCAGATTAAATTGTTCTATTCCTGATTATTGTATATAGCGCGATGAAACAAAAAATGCATTTCCATTCTCGCTTTCATGGGCAATCTATGCCTGCAAACCTCTTGATAAAGAACTTATTTTCAAGGAAGCACATTTCTGCGCTCTGTCAGCCATCCAGCAGAGCTCTCACGCTGCTTTGACTTTTCCATCGCCCAAGAGTATCAGACCTTTACAAATTTTCTGGGATCCCAGCAAATTTAACAACACAAGAAAATCCTTCTAGGGATTGATTGTGGACGTACAAGGTTTCTGGCACCACGTATTGCTTGCTTGCGTAGATGTAACCAACAGGCAGAACCTACACACCGGTCTTGAAAAAGTGCCGTTTAGGCAAAATAGATGTTATCCGTCATCCTCCCCACAGCTGAGACTGGAAATGTATCAGAACTGGCCCCATTTCTTCAGGAAGGAACTGGTCTTAAAGAAGTCAGCTTAAATAAGATCAGCAAAGCCATCTCCAGCGATACCATCTGGTGACTCTTAATCACATCCAGGCGTAGAACGTCGCAAACATGAGTCAGGTTAAAAAAGGCATGAAAAAAACAGCGAG